AAAAAAAAAAAAAAAAAACAAAAAAAAAACTGGTGAACCTACAATAAAGACAGAGCCACATATGGGATTGACAGACAAAGGATGGGTGCTCCCCAGATGGGAGACCAGTCTGATGCCTTCCCAGCCACGTCCCTGAAGGGATATTTCAGGGCGTCTTGGTTAAGGTGTACCCGTATAACCCCCCGGCCTGGTCACCTTCAGATTCCTGAGGTGAATTACCGTTATGCCTTATGACGTCCCCGTGGAACCGCAGGTTGAGGCCACACAAGCCCTGTAGCCGTCAGGCCGTGGGACTACACATAAACTCACTCACTTACTCACTCATGTTGGGGTTAGGAAGAGAAACTGAAACCCTCCTGGGTTTCAGCACCAAATGTAAGGGTTATTGCTGAGTTTAAAATGAGGAAACTGAGGCCAGTATAAGAAAATTAAATGCCAATTTATTCAGCTCCTGGGCGAGGTTCCATGGTCCCGGGGAAAGGGGCCAGAGAAGTCGCACGTGGCTTCCCAAGGTGTGGGGTTTTATAGCAAGTGAGGGTGTCTTGATTGGTTATGAAGGAACAGGATGTGGCTGGGGCAAGCTGCTATTGGTAGGTAGGCAGGATTTCCGGTGAGCAGGCTGCCCGGGGTAGTGGGACCTGGACAGGGCAAAATGCTATTGAGCAGGTTTTGGCGGGGCTTCTTTTAAATTTTGGCGGGGTTTTTCTTTTTTTTTCCTTTTTTTCTTTTTTCTTTTTTTTAATGAGACGAAGTTTTGTTCTTGTTACCCAGGCTGGAGTGCAATGGTGTGGTCTCGGCTCACCACAACCTCTTGGCGGGGGTTTTTCAACAGCGGGCTTGGTGCTGAGCCCGGAGTGGTGACATAGTTTTCAGGCGCGGAGAGGGATGGGCGTGTCCGAGCTCCCAGCTAGGCAACCGGCCTTGCAATAGTCTCTGCGAAAATTTTTCTAACAAGAAAATACACTAGGAAGAGTAAATCATATTTTTTTTTTTTTTTTTTTTTTTTTGAGAGAGAGAGTCTTGCTCTGTTGCTAGGCTAGAGTACAGTGGCACGATCTTGGCTCACTGCAACTTCCGCCTCCCAGGTTCAAGTGATTCTCCTTCCTCAGCCTCCCGAGTAGCTGGGACTACAGGCTTGTGCCACCACACCAGGCTAATTTTTTGTGTTTTTAGTAGAGACAGGATTTCACTGTATTAGCCAGGGTGGTCCCAATCTCCTGACCTCATGATCTGCCTGCCTCAGCCTCCCCAAGTGCTGGGATTACAGGTGTGAGCCACTGCACCTTGCTGTAAACCAATTTTTATAAGATCTCCAATGTCCTTTTGTGAACCCTTAATCATTATTTGTCTCAATTCTCCCCTTTAAAGTTCAAGCTGCTCGAGGTTAGAAACAATTTATTCTTGTTCATCTTAGCATATATTCGTATATCACAGTGTTCAACAAGAATGCTTCACAGACCTTCATTGAATGAATGAATGAATAAATAAATAAATATTTGTTTCCAAGATTTCCAAAGGCACCACGAATAAGAATCCCCATTCCCTTTTCAGATGTTCAATGCAGTAGATAAAATTTACTACAAAGTTTGGTTCTTGGTAGACAAAACAATACGTGGCATTCTGTTTTTGTGGTTGTTTTGTTTTGAGATGGAGTTTTGTACCTTTTCACTCAGGTGGGAGTGAAGTGGCACAATCTCGGCTCACTGCAACTTCCGTCCCCTGGGTTCAGTGATTCTCTTGCCTCAGCCTCCTGAATAGCTGGGATTACAGGCACCTGCCACCACATCTGGCTAATTTTTGTATTTTTAGTAGAGACAGGATTTCGCCATGTTGGCCAGGCTGTTCTACGAACTCTTGACCATCTCGGCCTCCCAAAGTGCTAGGATTACAAGCCTGAGCCACCACGCCCAGCCCATATGGCATTCTTAACTCTTTAGTATTAAAGCTCCTGGGCCGAGCGTGGTGGCTCATGCCTGTAATCCAAGCACTTTGGAGG